ACTACACTTTAAAGGGACAATCTTACTTTAGTCTCAGAAATGTGAATTTTTCATCTTAGCTAATTATTAATAGTGTTTGAGACTTCAAATCCATGAATGTCCAGATTTATCTGTGTTTAAATGATAAAATGACTTGTCAATTTAAGATATTCTGTGATATATAGAAAAGACATATAAAAATAATGAGTAAAAATTCCTAGTTTTAAGTATTTTAGAGGAATTATACGATTCTCGTAGATTTCTAGTACTTCTAAAGACTATTTACATATATTCAAGACTCAAATCAACCCCTGAAAATAGTGAAGTTGTCCCTTTAAATCTAAATAAACCTGAGTCATGCAGTGAAAATGTTACTATCTTACTGTGTTTAAACTTCTAATGAATTTAATTGAATTAAAAGGTTATTTTGAAGATTTTAAGAAAACATTCAATGAAGAAGTTAGTATGAATAAGGAATTAATTTTGTTTTAAAGAAAGAATGTCTAGTTTTGACAACCAAACTTAAGATAAATTTTTAGTTTCAACAAGATAAAAAAGAATTTAGATAAAAATTAAACAAGAATTCTTGACTTATCTTATATTGAAATATTGGCATTTGAAATTTTTTTTGTGAAATTTTCTGGTGAAATTCTGAGAATATTTCGAAGCTTACTGCAACTGTCAGTCATAATATAGGATTAAGTTTAAGTTCTAGAGATTTTATTGTGGGGGATGTAAAAACCAGGAATAAACCTAATCCCTTTTTATAGATGAGATTATCAGGGAGTCCACATAGCTAATAATGTTTATTTGGTATTTAGGTTTGTCAACTCAACATCCCTTTCAGAGAGTCCACATAGATAATAATGTTTATTTGGTATTTAGGTTTGTCAACTCAACATCCCTTTCAGAGAGTCCACATAGCTAATAATGTTTATTTGGTATTTAGGTTTGTTAACTCAGTATCCCTTTCAGTTTTGTTAACTCAGTATCCCTTTCAGAGAGTCCATATAGTTAATAATGATGTTTTTACAAAAAATTGACTGATAAAATTGGGATTCACCAACTTGACTAAAATATATATTGAATTGTTGACAGTTTATCATACCTTAAGGAAGCTTTTAGAATTTGTTTTGGTTTCAAGGAGAAAGTCAATGTGTCTCTATCTAAATTTATAATTTGAATCATCATTTTGTAAAAGTTTAAACTGAGAAACTGAATATTTGATATAAGGATGGTAATTGTTATTTTAAAATGAAACAGCAGGACAGTTTACAATCTAAATTCTCTTATATATTTCTCTATGAATACAGTTATACAGAATATATATCAGTTAAACAGAATATATATCAGTTAAACAGAATATATATCAGTTATACAGAATATATATCAGTTAAACAGAGTATATATCAGTTATACAGAATATATATCAGTTATACAGAATATATATCAGTTATACAGAATATATATCAGTTATACAGAATATATATCAGTTAAACAGAATATATATCATTTAAACAGAATATATATCAGTTTAACAGAATATATATCAGTTATACAGAATATATATCAGTTATACAGAATATTATCAGTTATACAGAATATATATCAGTTAAACAGAATATATATCAGTTAAACAGAATATATATCAGTTATACAGAGTATATATCAGTTAAACAGAGTATATATCAGTTAAACAGAGTATATATCAGTTAAACAGAGTATATATCAGTTAAACAGAATATATATCAGTTAAACAGAGTATATATCAGTTAAACAGAATATATATCAGTTAAACAGAATATATATCAGTTGTTAAACAGAATATATATCAGTTAAACAGAATATATATCAGTTAAACAGAGTATATATCAGTTATACAGAATATATATCAGTTATACAGAGTATATATCAGTTAAACAGAATATATATCAGTTATACAGAGTATATATCAGTTATACAGAATATATATCAGTTAAACAGAATATATATCAGTTATACAGAATATATATTAGTTAAACAGAGTATATATCAGTTAAACAGAATATATATCAGTTAAACAGAGTATATATCAGTTAAACAGAGTATATATCAGTTTAACAGAATATATATCAGTTATACAGAATATATATCAGTTATACAGAATATATATCAGTTAAACAGAGTATATATCAGTTAAACAGAGTATATATCAGTTATACAGAATATATATCAGTTATACAGAATATATATCAGTTATACAGAATATATATCAGTTATACAGAATATATATCAGTTAAACAGAGTATATATCAGTTATACAGAATATATATCAGTTATACAGAATATATATCAGTTAAACAGAGTATATATCAGTTATACAGAATATATATCAGTTAAACAGAGTATATATCAGTTATACAGAGTATATATCAGTTATACAGAATATATATCAGTTAAACAGAATATATATCAGTTATACAGAATATATATCAGTTAAACAGAATATATATCAGTTAAACAGAGTATATATCAGTTAAACAGAATATATATCAGTTAAACAGAATATATATCAGTTGAACAGAATATATATCAGTTAAACAGAATATATATCAGTTAAACAGAATATATATCAGTTAAACAGAATATATATCAGTTATACAGAATATATATCAGTTATACAGAATATATATCAGTTATACAGAATATATATCAGTTATACAGAATATATATCAGTTATACAGAGTATATATCAGTTAAACAGAATATATATCAGTTAAACAGAATATATATCAGTTATACAGAGTATATATCTGTTAAACAGAGTATATATCAGTTAAACAGAATATATATCAGTTAAATAGAATATATATCAGTTAAACAGAATATATATCAGTTAAACAGAATATATATCAGTTAAACAGAATATATATCAGTTAAACAAAATATATATCAGTTATACAGAATATATATCAGTTAAACAGAATATATATCAGTTAAACAGAGTATATATCAGTTATACAGAATATATATCAGTTATACAGAATATATATCAGTTATACAGAATATATATCAGTTAAACAGAGTATATATCAGTTATACAGAATATATATCAGTTATACAGAATATATATCAGTTATACAGAATATATATCAGTTATACAGAATATATATCAGTTATACAGAATATATATCAGTTATACAGAGTATATATCAGTTATACAGAATATATATCAGTTAAACAGAGTATATATCAGTTAAACAGAATATATATCAGTTAAACAGAATATATATCAGTTAAACAGAATATATATCAGTTATACAGAATATATATTAGTTAAACAGAGTATATATCAGTTAAACAGAATATATATCAGTTATACAGAATATATATTAGTTAAACAGAGTATATATCAGTTAAACAGAATATATATCAGTTATACAGAATATATATCAGTTAAATAGAATATATATCAGTTAAACAGAGTATATATCAGTTGTACAGAGTATATATCAGTTATACAGAATATATATCAGTATATATCAGTTATACAGAATATATATCAGTTATACAGAGTATATATCAGTTATACAGAATATATATCAGTTATACAGAGTATATATCAGTTAAACAGAATATATATCATTTAAACAGAGTATATATCAGTTATACAGAGTATATATCAGTTAAACAGAATATATATCAGTTAAACAGAATATATATCAGTTAAACAGAATATATATCAGTTATACAGAATATATATCAGTTAAACAGAATATATATCAGTTATACAGAATATATATCAGTTATACAGAGTATATATCAGTTAAACAGAATATATATCAGTTATACAGAATATATATCAGTTAAACAGAATATATATCAGTTATACAGAATATATATAAGTTATACAGAATATATATCAGTTAAACAGAGTATATATCAGTTAAACAGAATATATATCAGTTATACAGAATATATATCAGTTAAACAGAATATATATCAGTTATACAGAATATATATCAGTTAAACAGAATATATATCAGTTAAACAGAATATATATCAGTTAAACAGAATATATATCAGTTAAACAGAATATATATCAGTTATACAGAATATATATCAGTTAAACAGAATATATATCAGTTAAACAGAATATATATCAGTTAAACAGAGTATATATCAGTTATACAGAATATATATCAGTTATACAGAATATATATCAGTTAAACAGAATATATATCAGTTATACAGAATATATATCAGTTAAACAGAATATATATCAGTTAAACAGAATATATATCAGTTATACAGAGTATATATCAGTTATACAGAGTATATATCAGTTATACAGAATATATATCAGTTATACA